TCCAGTACTAATCTTGTGCTACAATCGGGCACAATCCAGCCAGTTGAATCTTTGTGTAAGCAGCGATACTGGAAGACTACTACTGCTGCTGCTACTACTACTACTACTACTACTACTACTACTGCTACTACAGGGTGGGAATGTGTGTAAAACCGTGTGCGCGCAAGAGCGCGCAAGGGCGAAGCGCAAGACGATTTTCGAGTTAGGGGCTGCAACCTTAATAAAGAACAACCCCTATATATATATATATATATATACATACATACATCCATGCATGCATGCATACACGAATGCATGCATAGTGCGGATTTTCGAGTTCCATCGCGCTGCGCATATCTGTCTATCTATGTCTCTCGGTATCTACAGTTTGTAGAGGGGCGCGCAACCGCAGAACAAAATTTCGCCTTACCCGATTGACCTCGAAGTACGCGTGCAATTGTGTTTACGCGAGCACACAAGCACTGCAGCAGTAGTAGCCATGACGACATGCAACAGTTATTCGAGTAATGCTAGCAATAGCGCACACAAAGCAACATAAACGAGCAGCAGTGCCAGAGTGCGAATAAACACATACGCATACAAAAAAGCACCAATTCGTACATGAGACACACGAAATGCGTAGATTTAGCTAGCAATCTTGAGTGGTCCGAGACTTACCTCAACAGACAGCAGCGACAAGATGCAGCCATAGCAAGCTTTAGAAGGCAAGGGGGCATGGGGGTGCAAGCTGCCAGCCCCTCTGCAAAATCATGCATGAACACAGCAGCACATCTCCATGGATAATCGCAACTTCAGCCCAGCCACAACAATCACGATCCAGAGGAGCTTGAGTGCCAGCGATAAATATACAGCCGGAATGATGATCTCAGTCGGGCAGCACGTTGGTCACCATGACTACAAGACCCCTATAATTGTTGGAATCTTTTGGCATGCGTAGTCGACTGTCGGCCCATGGTTCGAGAAATAAACCGACCCCCCGTCAGTCAAGTGTCATCAAAGAGTGGCAAACGAAGTCTCTGCTTATGCACGGAGACGGGTTTCCGCGTGCATCTAAGGATATCATCGTTGGAGAGGCCCTTGACGGCAGTCCCAGCGTCCCAGAAGAGGCCCTGTGAGGCACTCAGGCTGCCTGACAGCGCATCTCCCTACGGCTGTCCATGATTGATGGTTGAGGAGCATTCTTTGCGCCATGGGCCAAGCTTCTTGCATTCGTTTTTGAGTTGCTTTTAATCGAAAGAGCAGCTGTTGATGGAATTGCTGAGGCCAGTGCGCTTTGCCGAAGCAGTGTTCTTCGTAAGCCCAGCATGTGACATATCGTGTGTCGTGTTTGTGGGCTTCACCTGTGGCATTAAATCCGGCCGTGATGGTCCACAGCAGGCTACTGGGCTCGAGTCCGCGGGTGCTCTGAGAGCAGCAGCTGGAAGTGTCGGCCTCGTCTTCGAATTGGACCGAGGGTCTCTTCCGACTTTCTTAGTATGATCACACAGAGTTAACAGCTGTGCCTCAGCGGAGGCGTTTCGGCTTTGCTTGGGCCGCTGCGAAGGCAAGCTGAGGGAGTCCTTCCCACTCATCCACTGTGGTTCCGGACCGGATGTTCCGGTCAGCCTCGGTTCGGTTCGACTTCAGGTCGCTCAGGTGACATGACTCATTCCTAAGCTAGAATGATTTATGTGCCACCGCACGTGGATTGCAACGTCTGGCAACTTGGGCTTCAATGCTTTCTCTCAGTCTGCCTTCACTCGAGCTGGCCAATCCAAAACGCCACAGGTGCAGTGGACTGCTGCGCGCACGCACTCCCCAGATTGGTGTCCTCATGACGGGCCCTACAACCAGAAAAATTCAAGGTCAACGCTACACACTTGCGTCGCGCAGGCCGCTCGACTATCAGCGAGCAGCGTGCTCGGGGTAAATCTGTCCGAAGGGAAAGCCTTCAGCCCGAGAAATATTCTTGTATGGTGCAGCACTTTCTACAACCGCACATTTGTTTGCAGGTCCAAGTCTTACCACTCCAGTCTCCGCTGCATTAGTTCTCCCAGCGCACCATGTACAGTATGGCATGACTTCACATGCTACTCAAAGCTCTTCCAGGCTCCAAGGTGTGGGTGTCGCCTTCGATTACTCGATTTTTCGTTCATGGCCAGCGCAGTGTTCGGGCACGGCTGTGCTACTGTGATGCGACCCTTCGTTGCATGTTTTCGTAGCACCGCGGGCAGATGTTGCTGTTCGATTTGGAGGTCATTTGCTTCGTCTACACTCTACACAGTGCCAAGCACATCGAACACCACACTCCCTTGGTAAATGACCAGTCCGCCCAAGTGGGTTCTGTTTTGATTTTGTGGGGATTGCTTAGGCTTGATCTGACTAGACAGGAGAAAGCGGCACTGGCATGAGCGTGCGTGGCAGCCGAGCACAGCCTAAATGAAGAGTCGGAATGCCAAACAGCATGGTTTCAAAATCATCAGAAGAGCTTGTCTGCAGTGCCGCAGAGACTGCCAGAAGATGCCCAGTGCAAGCAAATCAGAGTTGTGAGTGCAGTGCGCGCGCATGCAACCTCGATTGCCAGGTCCGCTGCATGCGCCTGCCGCAGGTGTTTTTCCATTTCCGCTTTAGTGCGGCCGAGTGCAAACCTGTGCTGGAGGAGCGAGAACCTCAAGACGGTGCTCGATATCAGGCCTGAGTCAAGCAGAGGCAGCTGTCGCAAAGCATCAAGACCTGGCCAAGGTCCTCATGCAAGCCACATTCGCTCACGATGGCCAGCAGGCTTGCGCAAGTCTCGGTTGGGCCTCGCATTAAATCTGAACACTCCATGCACTTGATGAAGTCCATACGCTCGCAGTTTTGTGATCTCTGATTTGTGTCCAGAGCTTTGGCCATGATGCACGAAGCATCCTGCACGGGACTGAACAAGCAGAATCTGGCACTACGGTGTCGGTGGAGCATGCCACTTTCCAAGCAAAGCATGGGTTTGTTTGGGCGAGCAACACTTCACCTGCAAGTGCGACAGACCTGGTGCGAAACTAAACACTCTGAATCGTAGTACCATACTGTAGACTGTGCTCGCCGAACACCGGGGGGCAGGCGAAAGATGCAGCCAACTTGGAGCTCGCGTCGACGGCTATCAAGCAGGCAGGATGGGATGTCTGGGATGCAGAACTCTATTCTCAAGGCGGCTTCACTCGGCTTTGTTGGACGTAATGATCCGCAGCTTTTGAAACTCTCTGGCGAGGGCCTACCCAAAGCGATGCCTTCAGGATGAATGACCAATGCCCATATCACCTTGTTACGGGTCTGCTGTGCCTGCAGCCCCGAACAACTCCGTTGATTGGCCCAAGCAGTACCATACAATGCAAGGCATCTAAAAGGGGGTGAGAGCCAGACCGTGGATATCAAGCAGACGCATCTGACATCTGCACGAAGAGTACTTTTCCATATCCTTGAGACTCTGTAGCAGTGTCCTCAACTCCTGCAGCCTTGCCATGAGCCTGTGGGCAAAAAGCTGAGTCTTCGTTTTCCAGGCTTCGTTTGCTACTAAACTTGTTGCACTCCGCTGGTGCCCAGGTTGACCTGCAAGCAGAAGAAGTAAAGAGACTGGGCTTGTGGAAGTTAACACCCACCCTGTTTCCGAGTTGTGTTCATGTCGTCACAGATCTTGTAGTTCTGCAGGGTTGAACTTGCTTGTGCTTTCTCTCATGGCTTGTCCAAGAGCCTGCGATGTCTCTGAAGCAGTCTGTCTTGTTGGCAAGGTGCGTAAACAAGGGAAATTGCCTGCACCACTGGATCACACAAAGCAGTTATGGAGAAAACCCAAGCTTGCGGTCGGAGTAGTGTGATCGGTTGTGCGATCTTAGGCAAAGCTCCAGGGTGCTCAAGGAGCTGGATCTCATTTTGCAGCAACCTCTCTGCAAGTAGGAAATTCCCAGTGGGCTCGGAGTTGCTGCGGAGTCGCTGTGCGGCTGTGCCTGCTCTGTCGTACTCTTTAAGGCGTTCTGGGCAATTGCACGAGAAGCAGTGGATCGAGACGCGCCAGGCGCTTCGGTGAAAAGAGTCGCTCGCAACGTGCTTGGAAGTCGCAAGGCAGAAATTCTCATCGCGGTGACGATTACCGTTTACGCCTTCTTTATCGGCTTTGAGCTCGAGATCCTCGGCTAGAAGCGCTGAGCTTGTCATCGACGCTTTGTAAACAGTCTGGTCCGTACGACTCATGAGAGGATCATCGACATTCAGCAGCAGGTTGTCGGATGTTGTCGGTCATCGTCTCCTGTCCCGAAGTTCCGAAAGTGTTAGCGGCAGCGCGGGTTCTCAGCTCACTTTTGCAAGGGTGGCGCAAGAACTCAAAGAGCCACCGCTGTAGACCAACGGGCTGCGTCGAACAGGAGCACTGACGTTTCGCGTGGCATCTCTCGGCTATTGACGCTTGAAGAGGCTTGAGCTTTCAACGATCCGCCAAGGATTGAAGCAAACCATGCAGATGTGGCAAGTACCCTTTCGCAAGTATCTTGGCCCAGGCTTCGGATGACTCCAGGGGGCCGTTTGCGTAAACAGTTCAGTTCAGTGCGCGAAACAGCTGCACAATGCTGAATCCAGGCATTTCTGATCTGTCACGTGTTGGGCTTAGTTCTGCTGGCTTCTCGATGATTCCAGTCAGTCGGTTATGAATTGAGGTGGTGTTTAACACGGTCTTTGTGCTGGAGATAATCTTGCGTGTACGATCTGTGGGCATAAGGCGCGCGGCCTTGTTACGTTTTGTTGCCGGTCGCATGACAGACATGGCAGATACTGCTCTCCGTTCAATCCTGCTGGGTTTTTCGTGCCTTAGCTACAATCGCTGTCAAGTAGTCGGAGCTTCAGCTTTCTCACTGACTTGCCGAAGCCTTGCGACTTGAGGATGCAGTCATCATTCTCATTGGCACTGTTGAGAACATTGTCTCGGTGGTTTTCGCGATGATGTCACAGGTGGGAAAGTTTTGCACAACGGACAGCGCCGTCCGGTCGGACGTCAGCACGTGATCGTCCATGCTCAGGCATTTGAGCGACTGAGCAAGATGCCAGTCAGATGGAGCACGATTCGAGCATTACGCAAATCAGTGGCAGGATGGCGGCGGCTCTGTGCTCGCCATCGCTGGCGTAATGCGCATCGTTCGTCTTCTGCGACTCGCCAGGCCTGATGTGCTTGTCGTGCGTCGCCAAGTTGCTGGCTTGCATTTCTCGAGGCTCCTGCGTGGATTCCTGGTCTGCCAAGAGTTGAGACTGTTAGTCACCGGTACCGGCCTCTTATTCAATGTCGCAGAGTTCTTATGCGGGCAACAGCCGGCAAAGACTTTAAACTTAGGTATGATGTTGGCTCTTCCGACTGTGGTCTGGGCTGGAGTGCTTTTTGCCATTGTGGTATACTTGGGGACTATGCTTCTTGGTAGACGAATGAATGCGATGCAGCACAGCTTGAATTTCAAGCGCGAGTGCCCCTTTGTGATCGCTGACACGCCATGTCTGCACACAGCAGTACGGGCTTTGTGCAAGGCGGACATACACGGACCAAGTCCCTAGCACGTGGAATGCTGGCATGTGTGTTAATTCATACATGCTTCCTTTTACAACGTTTTGCAAGCGATCAGCGATCCCCCAAGGTTTACGGTGATACTGCTCGGCAATATTCCTGAACTTGAGGGTTACTTTGGCACAATTGGGCTGGCACTGTGGACCCATTTTGTCATCGTGACCATGGAGACCTGGCCCGACATCGCAGACACTGTTCTAGCTGTGGCAAGTCCGCTGTGGGGCGTCTACTTCGTAGTGTCTCTGCTAGAGTTGGTGTGGAGCAGTATGTATTTTCTATTTTGCCATTACTTGCACATCGGTTTCTTCTTGCGATTGTCTAGGATTCATGATTAGTTGTTTCTGCTGATACCAACTTTTTACAGCATTTGGCAGTGAGTCTCTGTACTACTGTCCGAAGTGGTTGAGTGTTGAGCAGGAGACAATCGTCTAGAAGCTATGTCGTGCCCTTACCAGGTATTCATCTGCATCTCGAGCATGTCGCTGATGAACTTGGTCACAGGAGTCATCGCCGAAAAGTCACTTGGCACGGCGTTAAAGTTTCTCCTTGACAGGCCTTCTTTTGTCACTGCACCGAGGCTTTTGAGCACTAAAGATGTTACCACATCAGAGGACACCGAGGATGAGATGGAGGAGGGTGTTACACAAAACAGGGCGCACAACAAATGAGTGCAGGAACCACTAAAAGACTGCTAGGTTTCGAGTCTCGAGACGTGGTAGCGAAGTTGGCCGACTTTGCATAACTGCCGAGAGTAGAGTAGTTGTGCTATGGACAAACTTGCACGACGCGTGATTCGGTGTTGCTTGTGTTGATCATGTCGCACCTGGTCGGGCAACTGGGAGAACCATGCGGGCTATCTTCCGTCTCTTGAATCATTGATTTGCACAGACCTAAACGACTCTGTTCGGCCTTTGTTGATCTACCGCTTGCGTGCTTTCACTCCTGGAGGCTTTTCGTCAAGAAAAGGCTGCCTTCAAGCAGGACGTGTGTGAGCTACTGCTTTACGAAGACGACGTAGATGTTCGGAGCTCAGTGTAGGAGACGTTGTGAGTTCGTCCGAAGCGAGCATGTCAGCCCAGGTTGACATATTCGCCGGCTTGATGGAGACGATCAAAATGAGAGCCTGGTTGCAAAAACTACAGGCTTCCGGGATTCCGGCCCAAACTTGCAGAAGTCCAGAAGCACAGGGGACACAGGGCATGCAGTTCGCAATACCACCCGCATATGCATGGCCAGGTGTCTCCTGAACTGCCGGCCAACGATTTGTTCAATCTTCTGGACACAGAGAGCAACGGAAGCTTGACGTTGGATCAGCTCGTCGAAGGCATGCTGAATTTAAGGCGAGGGACGAACAGATGCGTGCATCTTGGTGCCAATACCCTCTGCTGCCAACTCTTACCTGCTCCGTGAGGGGATCCCGCTTGAGGGTGCACTCCCTCCTGTTGCAGCAGGATTGGGGAACTACAGAGTGCTAGTCTGCACAAGTAGGCCAAGCCAAGATCCTTATTCGTAAGCCTGAAGGACTTGCGTCGATATTGCCAGGACGAGTTGGATGCACTTGCTGAGTCTTGGTGTCCACTGCAACGAACAGGATTGCCAAAAACCACGCGGCGCACGCGGGCTGCCGTGCTGTCTGCATGAGAATGCCTGCTAAGGAAGTCGAGACCATTGTGGTTCGTCAAATTTCGAAGAATCTGACCTCCTTGAACCAGACCTTTCAGGAGGCCGGCTCCGTGAGAGTCTCGAGCCTCCTTTCCAGAACCTCCTGTCAGGAATTGCAGAACATGCAGAAGCTAGCAGAGCCAAGCTCAACTTCACCAGGTGGGATCCTGAGTTCGCTTCGTTTGGATCTTTGCATTGAATGGATTTGCGAGGGTGTGCAAAGCAACCTTGCTTGGATTTGCAGACCTTTCCAATAGATTTTGCCCCACAGTTCCAGAAAAAGTTTAGGGGCGATCAAGGTGGTACTCGCAAGCTATGGCAAGCCCTGTGCCAGGCGTTTGCGACGACGACTTTTCTGCCTGGATGGCCGAGAAGGAAAGTCTGGAGCGCTTGGTCACGGAGCTGGGGCAGCTAGAATGAACAAAATGCACGCACTGACGTACGCTAGCTGCAAGATGGATTAGAACTGAAGGCTATTGGCCGGCACGAGTGATCACCTCAAGTGAGTGCAATGCACGGGGTGGTTTCGAAAAAGGCTCGTGTCTCGACTCCAACCCACGGCAGTGTGCGTAACAGCTCCTGCCGAATGGCAGAGCTCCAAGTTTGTCGCAGAAAATTGGTACGGGCGTTGGCAGCAATAGGTTCATTAGCTTTGTTGTTATGAACCGGCATGAGCCGCACAGAGTTTTGAGTTGTTTCGGAAGGATTTTAGAATGGTTTTCAGGGGGTCTTGAAACGTTTTTGAGGGGATGAAGAGGGTTAGAATGATTTTGGAAAGGCGTTCAGAAGGCTTCAAAGGTTCTAACCTTGCTTGAAAGGGTTTCGGAAGGGTCTTAGTGGCATTTGATGGATCTGTCAAAACGGACTGAAGCGTATGTTTGAATGTGCTAATCTGCAGTTGTAGCTCATGTAATGTTCCCCTGAAGGCGCTGTTGGGAAGCTTGTGGCGTGCTCCACAAGCTTTGACGGCTCCAAGAGAGGCCTGGGGTCTGCGGGCACCGCGAAGCCGAAACTTCTGACACTCTGCAAGGCTGCAATGCCCTGCCGTGCCATAGAACTTGTTCGAAAGAGAGCTTTGCCACGGGACATCTTGCATCTACGAAGTTTGCAGGGCCTGCGAGTTCAAGTGGCGGGAGACTTAGCTCACCCTTGAATTCTGGCATGTCATCCTGTTGAACAGTCTGGACCGAGCTCGAGCCTTTCAAAAAATCCAGCGAGGCCATGGCAGCCTATGGTCCTCCTATTTCTGGACCCGTGACTTTTGAAATGGCCACCCCGGAGACAACCAGCTGCCCGCAAGCCTGGCCGGTTTGTCTTGGGGTCATCAATCTTGCCGAAGTGCAGTTGCAGTACCGATCACCAGGCAAGTGGTGACAACTTTTCCGTGGCCCGGTGAAGTCAACGTGAAGTCGCTATCCCGGATCTAACATGAGCGTGGAGAGGGCGCTCAGTGCTTTGTGAAGTCCCGCTTTACAATTTTCCATCATTTTCAGGATGGACACAGCTGTGTCATCAAAGCCACTACCACAGGTCACAGGCGAACGTTAGGTCTGTCGCACTTCCAGGTACAAGTTGAGAACGTGATAAAATAAATTCCGGGCATTGTTGCTTCAGCGACTCGTGACATCGTTGAGAAGCCGACATCGTGACATGTAGACGAGGCCAGGTTTGGACTACATCGTCCTTCACTTTGACCGTTGTGTGTTGCTTGCGAGCTTGAATGTCTTGCGCATGAAGTGTCCAGCAATAGCTCAGTGCGTTCCAGGTACGGTTGCATGGAAAGGAGACGGCAACCCTCTTCGGATCTGGAGCCGGGGGTTTGGGGGGGAGAAGGCTGCTGGTGTGCGTTGGAGTACGAAGGAACTCCAGATCAAGCAACCTCTCGTCGGCTCGGCGAAGCTCCACCAGGCTTGGACGACAAACATGCAGGGTGCTGTGAAACATATGGTCTATAGCTACAGCTACAGACTATACTGTAGCCAACTCAAAACAGTTCGCTGGGGAGTTGGTGTCTTAAGGATGCCCGATGATGTCTGATCTTCCCGCAACTAGACGGAAATGCCTTTTCGAATGTTTGGTTTCTCCACAGAGCAGCCAAAAAGCAGGCCGCAATCAAAGTGAAACTTCTGCAACCTCCGTCAGGTTTCGAGCTTCCGAGTCTGAGCGATGCCGTCTGCCGACACGACCTGGTTTCGGCTTCTCTTCCGGTCCCGGAGGCCCCTCTAAGCGTGTCAGTGCAGATGAGAACGCTTTCCGATTGCTGCTTGACCTGCCGCAACCTGTGAGTTCACAGGTGCGAATGCCTGGAAGAGTCCCAGCTGCACCAGCTCAAGTTGAACGTGTGAGTGGTTGTAGCTTTCATGTTCCCTGCTGCGTGCTTCCTCCTCCTGTTCTTTCCATCCTTACCTTCTGGGTTGAGGCGGAAACGGGAAAAGCAAATAGTTTCTGCTGCACAATATTGTGCAACGACCACGCGAAGCTGCGCAGACGTCTCTGCGCACAAGCACTCCAAAAACGGAGGTGTGTCTTTGAGCATGCTTTGCAGAATGGAATGCATCCGGCTGTTTTCCTGCACGCCAAAAACCTCGAGTTCATGGGGCTCTTGGCTCTTGGCGGCTCTCCTGGGACTGGGGCCGAAAGTTGGAACACGACGCCACATGCTTTTTGTTCCTCAATCAGAGCAATTCGGGCTTGGCCAAGAGATGCCCTACGCGAAGTGAGGAACCCTTATCTTCCGACCTGACAGAGATCTGAAACCTGGATGCTGCTACACCTTCCACTTGGATATGGAGGCACGAAGTCACCTACCATGGCTTCCGGTGACTGTGCGGTTGAATACGAACTGGCAGGCAGTAAATTCGTGCAGCAGCCAAACACCTCTGTGTGAGGAAGCGCAGCTGACAGGCTTTGGTGCGTTTTGTAGAACCGGCAGTTACCATCGCAGGACCTGAAGCTCGACTTCTGCGTGAAGTGGCCATCCCCGAAAGCCACGACATGGCTGCACGATGATCGCTTCCTCCAGGCTCCAAAGGGACGCCTCGGCCTCGACGAGCGATGAGAAAGGCTGCCAGCATTTCCTTCAGGTGGTCTTCAACGCGGCCGTAAACCTGAATGGAACTTCCCACCGGATACAGCTGCGAGCGGGACCAGAAGCCGATGTCATCCCAGAAGGCCGAGACGGCAGACATGTGGCTCTGCATATCTGTCTGCTGCGTTCCTCTCAGGTGGGCCTGAGCAGGAAGCTCCGCAGAGGGTGACTGCTTTGTTCACCTTGCAGCCCAGCAAACGCCTTTACTGGATGTACGGAGACGGCAACTTTACATCCGGAGTTGGCACAGCCTCTTGGATTTCAGTGAAGGCGTCAGCGTTTGTGCCACAGTCCATGTGTCATTGCTTTCGAGGTAGAGGACAACATGGATGGTACAGGCTCTCTCTTGGAGCAGCCTGCTGCGCCCCCGGATGGCCCCGTCAGTTCCAACCACTTGGATCTTTGCTTGCAGCCCTTGTCCTTGAGCTTGGGCATGCTTCGGCCGGGCTAAGGTGTACTGTGCCCACGTACCGCACGGGCAGGCGGATTCGGAAAGTCTCTTTTTGCCACTGTGATTCTGGTAGTGCGCCCCGACTCGCAGGCTGCTGGGATCCAGACTTGCGAAGATCATCGCAGCTTTGAGGTGGACATTTGTGAAGTGGAAGGAAACTGCCCGGACAAAGAGAAGCTTCCCTGTGGCATGTGGTGAGCTCAGTTTCAACAAGGTCTCCTGCTGATCTGCGTGTGTCCTGAACCCAGGATTCTTGAAGCAGATTTTCAGGCCGGCATGGCCATCAGCCGCGGGGTAGTCAGCCGGACAATGACCCAGACGCATCACACACGCAGCTGCCATCCTCCGGAGCTTGTCAACACACTCAGGACAGGTCTGCAGAGTCAGAGAGACATGCCGTACCATGTCCTACCTTTATCCTCAGACACGGCATGCAAAGCCGAGCGATGTAGGGTGAGCAGTGAGGAAGGAACTTTTAGTCAGGAGAGGTGCTTGAAGAGTTCCAGACTTCAGCTGTCACGAATCGACCGGCCCCGACAAAGCGGAAGTTGGAAGCTTGCGCGGTGGTCAGCCTCGTAATGCTACGGACTTTACATTCCCACTGCACTCGGACTCTCGAGTAAGTGGAAGATGATGGCATTCTTCCTGTTCCCCGTATCCCAGTTGCAATCTGAAAAAAAAATCGAGGGAATCGCCTGGACTTGAAGTTAACGGCCAAGCATGTTCCTTTCGTGGTGTAGTCACAGTTGAGCGAATGAATTATCCCTGCGCCCGAAAACTGTTCCGTATTGTCAGATTCAAGCAGTGAGTTGAACGACTGGTGATTGCCGGTCGTAGCAGCGATTTTGGGCCGTGGATCTTAGGCGCAAGAGTTGTTTCAGCGAGGCATGCACATATATTTCACACATTTCTGTCGGCTCTTCGTGTCTGCCACACAATGCCACTGATCGTTCTTTCTGTTCCAGGATTTTGGGTGGCAGGGTCCCCCAGTCTACCAATCTTTCTGTCTCGGTTTGTACACATAAACTTTTCAGTTTGTAGGGTTGGCTAGTTTATATAGTTATATCGAATTGCATATATATATATACACATACATGTTAAACATGTAGGCGATTGTCGAGTTATCCACTGCAGATGTCAGCGATTGCTGGCCTTCATTCGAGTCTGCTGCAGATCTCTCTTCTTACAGTGCAGGGCTGGCTGGGGTTTATGTCGGGATGTTTTTTTTTTTATGTATTGTATTCCAGTTTTGAGAGCGATAAAGGTTTGGCTGCGTCGCTTCGGGTTTCCAGGCGTCATCGTTGAGGGTGTAGGATTCACTGATTTTTTTTTATCAACTCTGTTAAGGGTGTGCGGTCCACGGCTTTCGATATTCTGGGCGTAGTGTGGTGTTGACTGTTGTTCGCAAGGTCAAGGCCATCAGGGTTTATGGTGAGCTTCCCTGACCCGGTGTGGTATGCACCTTTTCTGGGTTCAGGGCTGGGCAGGTTGTTTTGGGGTTGGGGTTGGTGGTGCGCTTGGCATCAACTGCTTTTAGGGTCGAATTGCTTTGCATCGCATGGGCTTTGCCATGCATCTCTCTTCCGAAGGCTCCAACTTAGGGATATCAATGTTGATTCAAAACTCATAGTCATGGTTATCCCGGATGCTATTCGTATCTCGTCTGAAAATTTGGGTTCGCATCCCGTCGTTTCGAGGGTGCTGCGCATTAATTTGGCGTGTAGTGTTCAGGGTTGGCAAGTTCTTGTCCCTTTAATTTTTTTGGAGAGCTGTCTACTACCTCGATAATGCTACCATCGGTCTTTCTTGGGCAAGGTTTAGCAGCTATTTCTGTAGTGAGGGTCAGTTGAGGGTCTGAGGGCTTGCTCCACTCTGCATTAGTTTCTTCTATGGCTTTGGGGTAGCTAGCGATCAGAGTTTTGTAATCCCAGGTGTTACCAGTCAGTCCTGCCCGTCATTTCGGGTTTGCTGCCCAGTGTGTCAGGTATCGCTCTGTTTAGGGTTTAGGGTTTAGTTATTCCGTATTGAGGTTGAGTTGAGTGTTCATTGATGGGGTGTTGGGGTTTCCTGTTGAAGTTGTCATGATCGCTTCCTTGGGTTGACGATGGTTGTCCGTTCGAAACCAGCTTTTTCGGGGCTGGGGTGGGCTAGGCGACTGAAAAGTTCATGCTGTACTGCTCAGCATTTTTCTAGAGGGCATCGGCTTTGCTGCCTGTTGGTTTGGGTTTGCAATGCATCGTTCTTTCTGAAGGCCTGTGCTGGCGACATGAGGTTCAGTTTAGAGTTTGCTGCCCTGCGTGTCGACCAACGATTGTTTAAGATTTAAGGATGAGGCTTGGCTAGATGACTATGCATTTCACAATCAGAGAGCACCGTTTTTGTTTATGCCTTTTGCAAGCATCACGGTTTGCTGCCCATGGCTTCGGGGTTGATCCGTGGTATTTTTGCTTTTTTTTTTCGGGTTTAGCTTTGTCGGAATGCTTTCACAAAGGTTTTGGTTGCATCTGCAGCTGCCCATTATCTTTTTGCTTTGGCTTTGCTGCCTTCATTTTTTGTGTTGGCATTGTATGACGCCATCGTTTGAGGACTGATGTGTGCCCATCTTGGGATGGAGGTTGAGGTGACAGTACCTTCGTCTGTTCACGCTTTGCTTTTGCTTGGCTTGTTAGGGCTTCTGCGAAGTGAGAAGTCTACACCTTGCCGCTCGCGAACAACAAGGGCGACGGCAAGCTCAACAATATGATGATGATGATGATGATGATGATGATGATGATGATGTGTGCCCATCTTTTCGGGTTTGCTGCCCATCGACTCGGGTATCCCTCTGCTTAGCGTTTAGGGTTTAGCTGTGTCCGTAGTGAGGTTGAGTTGAGGGTTCATGGGGTGTTAGGCTGTCTTGTTGAAGTTCTCATATCGCTTCCTTGGAGTGACGATGGTTGTGCGCTCGGCTTTTTTTACGGGGCAACGGTGGCTAGGTTTTAAAGGCTCGGGTTTAAATTTCGACAAAGATGTGGTAAGGTTGAACTGAGGGATCATGGTGACATGGTGTTTTTTGCTAGTTTTCGTTCGACCTTTTTTAAGGTACTCACCAGCTTTTCGGGCTTAGGGTA